AAATACACAGTTTATCTTTCTTTTTTTTGATGGTGTGATGCAATGAGTTAAATACATAATTTAGTTTACAAAATATGTAAACAAGAATGTGAAAGAATATATGTAGATCTGGATAGTATAATTTCATATTTAATTATGCATACATTTTAAAGTCAACTTTATTTTCTAAGCTTTTGACTAATGAAATCGGGAGATATTTCTAGAGAAGCTTTTAATCATAATTTGTAGGGCTCATCAGATGTTACCCTAAAACCTGTTGCCTGAAAATGTGAAAGATTTAATTCAGCAGCAGCTGATTTTGTAGTTGTTTGACATTTGAATACAGTTGTTTATAAGACTGATCATCGGCCGTTTTCCCACTTGACTCAAGTTCGTCCGTCTTCAGCAGTGTCTGTAATTAAAACACACTGCTTTAGATCACATCCTGTTGTAGTGACTGATGAAACGTCTCTTCACAAAGACAAATGAGATTGTACAGAAGTTTACACTGAAGCGGATGTCAGATCATAATTCAGTTACCTTGTAAACTTGGAAAAAAAGGAAATATTTAGATCACTATGATATTTAAAAATGTACTTTATACTCTTTATACTCTATTTGGAGGTCTGAATGAAATTGAATAATATTTTTAAAAAGAATAATAATTGAATAATATATGTTTTTAAAAATATAAATAATTTAAATTAAATTCATTTAAAATATGATTTAATATAATGAAAAAAGTATTTTTTTGAATTTGAATATTTTGAATATATATAAAATTGTAATATAAATTACAAATTACTTTTTATTTAATATGTGACCCTCGACCACAAAACCAGTCATAAGGGTCAATTTTTCGAAATTAAGATTTATACATCATCTGAAAGCTGAATAAATAATCTTTCCATTGATGTATGGTTTGTTAGGATAGGACAATATTTGGCTGAGATACAACTATTTGAAAATCTGGAATCTGAGGGTGCAAAAAAATCAAAATATTGAGAAAATCATCTTTAAAGTTGTCCAAATGAAGTTCTTAGCAATGCATATTACTAATTAAAAGTTAAGTTTTAATATATTTACGGTAGGAAATTTACAAAATATCTTCTTGGAACATGATCTTTACTTAATATCCTAATGATTTTTAGCATAAAAGAAAAATGTATAATTTTGACCCATACAATGTATATTGTTGGCTATTGCTACAAATATCCCCCAGCGACTTAAGACTGCTTTTGTGCTGCAGGCTCACATATATGCTGTTAGTTGTCTAAGAGTTTGCCTTTGTGTTTCAGAGTTTGACTGCATGCAGTTAGCAATTTGATAGCATTGCATCGAAGGCAGCGTAATTGCCTTACAAAAGAACTTCTGCAAATTTCATAGAAAATGTTTACTGCTAGTACACTAACACTACCTGCTATTCTGCATGCCTGCCTCCTGCTGAGAGGAGAAAGCTCTGCTGCTCCGGATCGTACTGCATTTAATGTGATGGTGAACTTAATCTGTTTTTTAAGGATAATATATACTGTATAATTATGAATATCAACCAAGTTTATGAGATCCAGCAAAACATCATGTGACTTTTAGCTTGTTTACTGAAGATGACAAATAAGATGATGCATGGAGATTAAGGCTCTGGAATCATTATTATCTCAATTACGTATTATTGGCATTGGCAGCTATTAGTTCGGTTTATTGTGGGCCACACATCTCGTAATAGTGCAGGTTAATGTTTTATAGGTTGCGTAAAATGCAAAATATTCCTAAGATTTTACAATATTCAACAGTAATTATCAGAATTTTACTGTGAAACCAATGGAGATGTCATTTTCATTTAATTTAATAAATGTAAAATAACTGTATTATGCTGCATGCAATAATAGTGCATTTTTGTGCGATTTAAGTATTTAAATTTTATAATAAAATACTTTTGCATTTCCAGAATTTACAAGGTTATTTTAAATTAAACAAAATGGTGAATGATATGGTAATTGATTATATATACCTATGCATTCATATATATATCAATATATATATATATATATATCAATATATATATATATATCAATATATATACATGTTCTTTGAAAAGACGAGATCAAAGTGGAGTTGTGAGAGACTGATAAAGTCATACAGAAAATGATTTGTTAACTAAATAAAGACATGGTGTGATATGTCATGTGCTATTGCTCAGCTGAGGTTTTATTTTCCAAATTTTAAGTCCTGCTAAGGACCAGATGATTTTTTTATTATGTCCTGATACTGCATACAGTTTTACTTTTCATACAATTTGTGTGAAAGTATAAAAAAAGCTTTCAGCAGCTAAAAATATTTAAAATAGACAGTCTTTCTCTTCCAGGCAAGCAGACCCAAATATGGATGACTCATTATGCACTGCACTGATTTTTGTCCAATCAGATGCTCTGTCGAATGAGAATGTCCCGCCCCCAATACCACCTGCAACTGACTGAAAGCAAATCACTATTGCTGTATTTCGACAGAGATATTTCACTTTATTCATACTGTAGCTGATTGGTCCAGTTTTGGTTTGCAATCTCTTACCCTAAAAACCAATCCATGTTCTTGAGCCCGAGTTTGCTCGAGCTAAACACAAATTTACACTGAAACTGGCTTTGCTGAGGCCATTGGAGGATAAAAAGACCCACAAAAGCTATAAAAGATCCACAAGCTCTATTTGTAGCAAATGAAACAATGCAAATCATGCGATTACGTGTTGCCCCCTTTCTGGCCTCTCTGAACCCTGTGCTGGCGTCCCGTCGAGCCTTGGGTGAGGAATTTGGATGCTCATTCCTGTGAGCCCATAAATTCTCTTGTGTTGTTTTGGATTTTATTTTTTGTAGCATTGTTTACCGCTCCGTGTGTGTGTGTGTGGTGGACAGTGATAAGTGTGTGTATGAGGTTGATGTAGAACAAGATCACATCAGTGCATATGACACATCTGTCTTCATCAAGCAGTGTTTAAGTGTGTGAAGTTTATCAAAAATTCAACACTCCCTGAAAGTCTCCTGCGGTTTATGGATAGTGTCTGGAATGTTCTGTAAATAACATGATTTCTGAACATGGAAAAAGTCTGAGTTGCAGTTTTTTGGTGTGGCATTTCAGTGAAAAGTCTCTTTAGGTTGGATTGGGGTCAAGCTTTATTTTTTTACCCACACTGCTCACAGTTTGAACCTATTATCGTGAACATTTCACAGCTGTTCTCCAAGCATCTTACATAGAAGCGACCCTGATAAAAGGATCTGTTTTGATTCGATTTGTCATGCTTGCAGGCATCGGGGTTTAATCCTGTCGTCACCTCATATGCTGGACAGCGGTGTGGGTTTCATTTGAACATTGAGGGACTCCTCCCACCTTCAACATCAACTGGTTTCATAACCTATAGACACGTTTAGGGTACCAGATTAGGGTTGTAACTAGGGCTGCACGATTAATCGCATGCGATATTTAACGCGCACAATAGCAGAAGCCTTTTTAGTGCTGAATAGAACCAGGTTCTATAGAAATAGGTTTCATAAACTTACTGGTTTATTGGTCACTTATTGGTGTTATAAAGAACCCTAAACTCTAACACAAAGAACCATTTTTAGCAATCAATGTTTCTTTATGCCAACCCGCCCCAAAACATTCCTAATCAAATTACTAACAACCACTGAATGGAATAACTAATTTTAAAGCTTAGAAACTCAGCTTTTTAATGCATGTAAGCATTTTGATCAACTCTTAACGATTGCTGGGTTGTCCCTCTAAACCGCAGTGTACTGCCGGCGAGCACCACCTAGTGACAAAAAAAATTAATAATCATATTTTGTCAAAACTACTGCCTTGATCAACACAAAAGAGGTGTCATTTGAACGCTTAAAGTGAACTTTATAATGCTTTAAAATGCATGTAGCCAGTTTGATTAACTCCTAAGCAGTGCAGAATTATTTGCTAATAGATAAGAATTTTTTTTTTTATAATTTAAAAAATAAGGTTTTTGTACTATGTCCTGTAATATGTGAAAAACATCATACAGCTCAGAAAGTCATGTCATATATCATTTGAAAGTTAGTATATACAACAAGTATAATTGCTTTATGACTAAACTTGAGCGAGTTTTTGTATGTGAATATGCAGACCCACATGTAAATAATAAATGGATGTGGCATTTATGTCACGTTTTTGCTTGTAACTTCATAAAACATGTTCAGATCATAGAAAATGGCACATCGTTGCTTACAGAGGATGCTCCCGATTCAAAAGAGTTCAAAATCAACATAATCCGATCATGAGATATACCTCACAGGGTGATGTGATATGCTACTTGGCTAAAGACATGTCTCTCATTTTTCCGGATGCAATTGTGTTATCCAATGTTACCGGAACCGTCCATGCTTGTTTTCCAATGTTGTTGTAAATGTTTTGGAAGCTCTACCAATCGTATATTAGAGTTAGGTCTTAGCCCTACCTCTATATTTGGGCAAGGTGATGAACCACATGGGTGGTGCACTTTGATCTTGAAAAAGGTTGAGAAGCTCTACCAATGCATGTTGGAGTCCATCACCACACAATTTGATCTAGAATGCAGTTCACATGTAGGGGAACTTCACCAAAAAAGAATTTTCCTCCTACCTTATTTACTTCCTGAGAGTTTGCACGTCAATTAAGAAAGATAAGTGAAATTTCCTTTGAGCACACTTTTTTGGCTTTTATCAGCAGTTTGCCAGCATGAGAATGTCCAAATGTAATGCAAATTTCTACAAATTTAGAAAGTTTTCTATCTAATGATTCCTATTTGACACTCCTTGCTATAGTTTTGGAGTTATGAGTCTTTACTTTTGTGCATGTCACTCAGAGAGAAAAAAAAAAAACAGCTCTAAAAATGCCTTCAGGGCCATCTTTTTGTATAAAATGGCAATGGAGTAAATATAATACATGGCCAGTCTCAGTTTAAGCATTTGTGACATTTTGTCTATTTGGGTGAGAATGTGCTTTCCTGATCTTGTTGTTTCCAGCACAATGTCTTCAGCACATTGCGTAGTTTATAATATTACAAAGTTACCGGTACAAACAACACATTCTCACTCCCAACTCGTCACGTGACGCTTGGTCAGGACCCTTTAGCGTCGTTTTTCGACGTGCAAGGTAGGCCTGGGCGATAAAACGGTACTGATATTTATCGACGGTACACCTTCTTCGATAACGATATAAAAAATGTTTGATATAGTGCACGATATAGGCACGTGCTATGAGTGACGCAGACAGCACACACAAACATGAACACATGCTGAATTGAGTGCTGTGTCTGCCTGTGATGAGGAGATTGTGAATAAAAAAAAAAAGAATATTAGATGAATTTAAAATAAACATTTGCATTTGAATGTTAGGTGTGCTTCAGGGAGCGTCATCAGTGGCGCGTGAGATGCGGTGATAATGATGTAAGTGACGTTGTTGCATTTGAATGTTTTGTTAGTCTAGTCTACGAGACGCGCAGTTGCTGCGGTATTCTTTCAGAATATTAGAGAAATATAGAAGCTCAATGCAGAGAAGATCTTGATTAGGAGAAAACCGAAACCATGCCATTCACACAGAACGCATATTCAAATACGACTGCTGCACTCGCGTGTCATACAAGAGATGTAGTCATGCAAAGTTAAAACAGTTTAAACTTAAACTTAGAAAACACATCGCGAATTTGTGGAGGTTTATTCCTTTTCACTGTGTCTCTTAAGTTTTTAAATGTAATCTGCGTGATGGCCGATTTGGCTCTTTGTATTAAGCAATGCATAAATACATGATACTATTTTGTTCATAATTGTTTATGCAATTTACGAAATTATATTTGATTTATATGAGTTAATTTAACATTATATCGTTGATAAATTGTTTAGCTATATCGCCCAGCCCTTGTGCAGGGTCCTCCATTGCTTTAAATAAGAATGCCTTGGCGTCAATATGAAGATGCGAAAGGCATTGGGAATTTTATCGTCATGATTAAATTATATATTGGGTAATAATTTTGCCATTATTGCATATATGTTGGGGTGCGATTTATTTATTTATTTATTTTAAATTTAAACAGTCACAAAAATTTTACTTACATTACATTACACTATTTACACATTTTTTGAGCACGTAACTCAACCCCTACACCTAACCATTTGTCAATATAAAACACAGGATATAACAATTTACATTACACTATTTACACATTTATGAGCATGTAAACCTACCCCTAAACCTAACACAGGATTTAACAGGCAGATACAACTACAGTCAATTTATTCAAAAAGTATTAATATTCCAAGACTTCCGAGGCAAAACGATTGATTTGTGAGGGGAATAGACACGATCACGTAAAAAAGCTCAGATCCTGTGTGCAGTCTGTGCAGAAATTCAAAAATTGCCGCCAGAAGAAGTGTTACGTCAGCTTTGGTTGAGAAATACCATTGGCTCTTGTGTGTCTCGTGACCGATTGCGTCATGCTAATGTTCGGGAGTATCTTTTTGAATGAGATGTGAGCGGCGCGCTTTAAAGGAGCGGAATCTTTTTCAGTGGTTAAAACCTTATGATTTGCTCTGTTCATCGCATAAAGATATCGTATGGCTTCAGAAGACTTGGAATGCAACACGACTTTTATACTATTTTATGGTCTGTTTTTGCAATAAATACCTGTGACTGTACTTTTATTTGCCTGTTACGTGTTTTATATTGTTTAGAAGTGGGTAGGTTTAGGGGGTTAGATGCTCCAAAATATCTATGAAAGTACAAATTTATGTAAAATTATTTCTATTTTTACAAATGCATGCAAACCATTAAATGCATTTTGATCTGACGCATAAGGCAAACAATTGAAAGCAATGGAGTACCCTGCATGTTGAAAAGTGATACTAAAGGGTTCCAGTTTGGAGTGAGAAACACAGCCAGACTTTTCAAGGCCATCCAATCTGGTCTTCCTGAATTGCAGAAATACATTGTATAATTTATGTAGAGGGATTTTTAAATTTTTCCTGATAAAACTGTTGCTCAGCATACATCAGCGAGAATGAGTTTGGAGAAGCAGCACCAGCCATAAACAGCCTCAGAAAGCTTCATCTCTGACTGCTGGCTCGGCCCAGTTACTGTGTGTATTTTTTATGAAATTGTTGCTCCATGCATTGTACAGGACATCAAATATTTACATCATACATTGTTTCTCTGAGAGATCCAGGCCTCCTCCTCCAGAGAGCGTTTATTATATCTGTGTAAACATAAGACTGTATTGGAAAGAAAATGTATTGGACAGGAGCCTTAATCAGCAAGTTTATATATGATATGTTTCATGTTTTTGAAAGAAGTCTCTTGTGCTCACCTAGGCTGCATGTATTTGATAGTGAAAACTGTAATATTGTGACATATTATTACAATTTAAAATAGCTGCTTTCTATGTGAATATACTGTAATTTATTCCTGTGATGCAAAGCTGAATTTTCAGCATCATTACTCCAGTCTTCAGTGTCATATGATCTTCAGAAATCATGAAAATCTGCTGATTTGTTGCTCAAGAAACATTTCTGATTATTATCAATGTTGAAAACATTTGTGCTGCCCAATATTTATGTGGAAACTGTGATGCATGTTATTTTTCAGGATTCTTTGATGAATAGAAAGTTCAAAAGAACAGCATTTATTGGAAATGGAAATCTTTTGTAACATTATAAATATTATTTCTGTCACTTTTGATCAATTTAGTGCATCCTTGCTGAATTAAAATATTAATTTATTTGTAAAAATCTTACAGAGCCCATACTTTTAAAAGTTAGTGTATATGTAAATCTTTATTTGTTTACTTTCATTTATATTGTTCATGTCCGATCATATCGGACTACCCTATATTACCCATCTCTCCTTCTCCAGAATAAACTTCTCGATCAACTCCTCTTCATACCTTGGCAGCTCAGAAGTTTCTTCAATCCTCAAAATGTCAAACCCAGCTTCCTGAGGAGAGCGTGGTTTTCATTTGCTTTGATGTTGGCCTTCCCCTTGTCTTTCTGCTTGTTAATTTAAACCGTGGAAGACAATCAGCGCTGGAGGATGAAAAATGTGATAAACATTGGAAAGAGGCTGGTTTGGGGTCATGATGCTCTCTGGCTGGATGCTGATAATTCGCCAACAAATGTGATGGTCTCTCCTTGAAGAGTTCTGTGCTTAAAGCAAAAGTACTAAAAGACATTCATCTTCTTCTCTGTCTTCACATTAAACCAGCTTGAGTGAGATCCAATTAAACCTGGCCAATTTCATCTAAAACCATCTGTACTGTTTTTATCTGACATTAAATAACATAGTATGAAAATTACAATGGCGTTCAAAAGTTTCCCATTAGTACGATTTTTGTTTTCTGAAAGAAAAAGATGCATTAAATGGATCAAAAGTGACAGAAAAGACGTTTATAATGTTACAAAAATGTCAAAGAAATGCTGTTCTTTTGAACTTTATATTCTTCAATGAATCCTGAAAAATAATGTCACAGTTTTCACAAAAATATGAACAGCAAAAACTGTTTTCAACATTGATAATAATCAGAAATGTTTCTTGAGCAGCAAATCGTCATATTAGAATGATTTCTGAAGATCATGTGACACTGAAGACTGGAGTAATGATGCTGAAAATACAGCTGCGCATCACAGAAATAAATTACATTTTACAATATAATCACATAGAAAACAGCTGTTTTACATTCTAAAATTATTTCTCAATTTTTACTGCACTGATTACTGTATTAATCAAATAAATGCAGCCTTGGAGAGCAGAAGTGTCTTATTTCTACAACATTAAAAAATCTCACCAACCCTAAGCTTTTGACGGGTATAGGGTACCTTTAAACACATCAAATGACTTTGGACTTTCTCAACTGTATCCAACCATTAAAATAATACAGAAATAATGTGCCAAGTGCCAAACAATCTCTTGAACTGATATTAAATTCAATGTAGTAAAAAATTAGAAATTAAAAAAAAAAATGGATCGATGGATTTAACTAAATGTAAGTAACAATTGCAAACCTCACAGATAAAATTTGGACTTCAAATGATCACTATTTTCAGGTTTTTCAGTCTTGATCTATCACATCCTGTTTCTGTTGCTTGCAGGTCAGAAAGGAAAGCAAGCAGGGGAATTTGGAGGTATAAAAGAATATGCGTATTCCCATGTGGATGAGATAAATTGCTGTTTATGTTTCAGCGTAGGCTGACAGACATAATGTTCCTTTGTTTATGTTTTGGATGAGGACTTGCCTGGCAGCGGCCGTTAGATACTGTACGTGTTGAGACGCCAGAGTGCTGTATGACCGTACCGCCGTTTCCCAGAATGCCAAAAAACTGGCACGTGAAAGCATTTGTCATGGGATTAAGCGGTTTTAGCTCGAAAAGTCATATTTGAATATATTTATTTGATTTGGTATTCCTCCTCCACGTGCAGAAACACAACAGCTCACTAGATCTTGGCGGCCAGGCTTTGCTAATGAATATTGAGGTGGGCCCAAATGGAGTATAGAGTGATAACTGAATGAGAATTCAGCTCCTCTGCCTGCTGTTTTTCCCTGATGGCCTGCCGTTCGGAGCCGTCATCAATAGCTGGAAAGGAAATAATCCACAGTGGGACAGGAGCCCCGAATCAACCCACTTCCCACGGAAAGAGCCCATCGCGGCGGACACCAGCGCACAGGAACAGCAGCAGACCAAAATAAATGCGAATCCTCTAAATGTTAAATCCAGCTTCCCAGCGAGTAGCATTTGAGGACAGCGTGGTCTTCATGTGCTTTGATGTCGGCCTTCGCCGTGTCTTTCTGCTTCTTCATTTAAACCGTTGAAGACAATCAGCGCCGGTGGATGAAAAATGCGATAAACATCGGAAGGAGGCCGGGTCAGGGTCACGATTGCTGAGATTTCACCAGTGTTTCCTTTGAAACTGGAGGTGAAGCGTGTATTTGAGCCACATGCCACCTTTTTGGCCTTCTGTCCGCATCTCTGGGAGAAGCCAGCGAAGATTATTCAACTTGTTACTCAACAGTTCATCCACAATGCAGATGAAATGGCAAATGTATGTAAGCTTTAGCTGATTCATTCCAGGTTTCTTCCATGCGCAGTGACTTTGAGGAGCACTCCGGGAACGGATCCGAGAGGGAGGTGACGAGGGGAGCGGACGTGCTTCCAGAGCTCAAATATGTCGTCCTCAGAAAAACCGGCGACCTGAAAGAGAGCCATGTTTGCTTTGGATGCAATCAAAAGAGTCACCGAGTGATAACGGATCTTTCTCTGTTCCTGTAAATGACCCGTTGACAGACGGAAAGGAAACTGTCCTTTGTCCTCGTGCCATCGCAGTACCAAAAAAGAAACAAGGGCAAAAAAAAGAGCGCTTCCTCTTGTATTCGTTCTATTTCGGTCTTTCTGTGGGATTAGAAGTCGTGTAGGAGAAACCCGCTGTGTCCGTCGCTTCCACGTTATTTTAATATTCAAAATGAATGAAGGTGCTGCCTAGTGTTGTCAAAATACTGAAATCTCTCATTTTAATACAATACCTTGAAAAATATTGATATTTGATATCATTTTCTATAAAAATTTCGACAACATTTGAACAATATCTACATTCATTTATGTGTGACCGTATATTGTCTGAAACTCTTGTTGTCTGAGATATGAGGCCTAATAATAATAATAATAATAATAATAAAATATGCTAATCATTTTGTTTTATTTATTTCCAAGACAGAAATAGTAATATTGTAATGCAGTTGCAATGTAAGTATAAGTATATTAGTAAGTATATTAATTATTTTACTTAATTTTAAACTACAATACTTATGTCTTCATAGCTTATATCATAATAATAATAATAATAATAATAATAATAATTATTATTATTATTATTATTATATGTATTTTTAAGACAGAAATATTACTATTGTAATACAACTGCAATGTAAAAAATAAAAAAATAAAAATGTTTGCTTTACTTTGCAGGAGTAAAATTACAATACTTATGTCTTATTAGCTTCACGGGCAAATGTTAAACTCCCAGACTTTTATTTTGCCAGAAAACTGCAGACAGGCCTTTAAGTTTCTCTGACCGCAGGTTTTCAAATGCATCTCATTACAAATCTAGTGATATACTGTACACAAAAAAGTTGGAAATTATGCGAATGTGTAAAGGTAACACATAACTGGCTCATGTTGCATTTAGCTGTATTTGCTATAAAAACACCAGATCATGCGCTGCTAGTGTGTAAATGAACATAGTGCCGCGCTTCACTCTGAAACATGCAGTGCAATGGACTATATACTTATTTAATTAAAATACACACTGCGATGTGTGTCAGCTTGCTGTCAGGAAAAGAGAGCGTGACAAAGCACCGCTGGAATTGGTGTATAAATACTGCAGAAAATGAGTATCAAAACCACTTATAAAATATTTCACTTACTGTGCATAGAAAAATCTATAATTTTGAGAACACTAGTGCTGCATCAGCATCTTTTCCTGAAATGTACTTCTAGCAGCATGTAATCATATTTGTTTCAAATTTTCGATGGTAATCCTTGGGAATTAAAAATGTTAATCACGTAGAGTGACGGTTCTCTTTTGTAACTGACCTTCGAGTCACGCTGCGTCATAAACAGACAGAAAATATCCGCTTGAGTTACACAACCCGAGATTAGAGGATTTCGGCGTCACAGCAGCACCGTGTTTGTGTGTCAGAGAGAAAGCGTTTCACAATCAAGGGGTGACCTGCGGCTGGTGTGAAGTGTGTTCAAATC